AGTATTAAATTTTTATAATCAACAAATTGGTTAAGGCTACTAGATCAATAAGTTAACATGCATAATTTATATGAATAGAATTTGAATACTAATATAGAAACCCTCCAATTTAACACAACTTACAACATACTTAATAAAAAATTTATTATTTTTTAATTTAAATTAAAAATGGGAAAACTTAGAGATAAAAATTTTAATAGCTAAGCTAATGGGTGTTGATGGATATATATCATATATTAAACTAGAAAGTGTACAAATAATTTTGTATAGAACTTTCAAACCAACATTTTATTTTAAAAATATGAAGCGAAAATTCCTCAATGGTCCACCAGATTTGTGTTACCTATTTAGTGAGGATTCAATTTTAAATCTTGTATAAATAAAAATGCTTTAATAAAATTCATTATAAGTGTATCAAGAATTTATATAATGCCTATAATATCCTTTTATAATGAAATAGTTAAAATATTAAATTTTAATCAATTAATATTAATTAAATAAATAAAAATAAAATTAATTAAAAAATGACAATCAAAACTCTCTCTTTCCATTTTTTTTTCACTACATTGTTGTTCATTAGAGATGAGCATATTTTATTCAATTTTAAATCACTTGATATTTAAAATTATTTTTTTGTTTAATTATTATAATTAAAAATTTAGTTAACTAAAATATTTCACTTTGGTTAATAATTAACCACCAAAATATTTTTTTTTTACTTAAAAAGATTAAAAGAATTTAGTTAATTGCATAAACAATATTAATTAAAAAACAAAATTTTGGTAATTAAAATTGAAGTTTTGAATTATATTCTAGTATTAAAATAAAAATTATCAATCAAAATAATAAAAAAGAGGAGAGGGAGAGTTTTGCTTATTGTTATTTTCTTAATTTTAATATTTTATTTAATTAAAATTAATAAGTACTTAACATTTTAATTATTTTTCAAAAAAGATTATTTTAGACCATTCCAAAAAACCCTAATACACTTATGAGAAATTTAATTGGAGTATTTTGACTTATACAAGACTTAAAATTTAGCATTTATATAATTTGAAAGAAAAATTTGAGAGACCCACTTTAAAGGAGTTTTCCCAAATATTAATTAAAATATGAGGTTTTTAGATCCATTTACATAATTTTTACACATATAACTTATACAAAATTTTGACATTTCATCTCTCTACTATGAATGGCTAAAGTTATTCATTTTTTATTATATTTTTTAAAATAATTATTTTTTATATAAAAAATTGTGATAAATCTCAATTCTATAAAGTGTCAATTTAAAAATATCATTCTTCAATAAATATTTTAAAAAACTAACCAATAGATTTAATGTTTCCTATTCCTATAAATCTTGTATGTTAATTTTAAAATTGATTCCAGCATATGTAATTATTTGATCAAAAAACTATTTCGATCATGCATGTCAACTCGAAAATGTAGTTTAATGTCAAAGGAGATGTTTTTATATGAATTGAAAAAATTAAAATCATCCTTAAAAAATACTAATTCTATATAATTTGATTATTAAGAATATAAATAATTAATAAAATAACTAATATTATTACTTAATAAATTAAAATTAATTTATAAATTAATATATTTTCAAACATTATAACTATCTATTTAAAAAAAATAATCAAATTACTTAATTTACCAATTTGATGACCATAACCACGGCATTTTTTGTGTAAAGTAATTTTTCTTGGTACACAACCATGTAATAAAACAAGAAGCTAGTAGTACATTTTTTTCTTTTTCTTATGAATCTTTTAGGTGTAAAGTAATTTTTTCTTGGTATGCAACCAAGGAAGAAGACAAGAAGCTCAGAAA